ACATTACCTGTTTTCCATCATGACACAACAGCATTTCCAAACATTGTATGTCAAATGATTACACTGGTCAGGGGGAGATCCAAACTCAGAGTTGATACTGTTAGCTACAGTACATACAGTAGCAAAACTCCACATCAGGGTTTTCAGAATTGTACCCAATTAAACCTAACAATTTAAACATCTAAAACAATGCCAGTTTAAAACACTCATTCAAAAGGTAGAACACCTGGTTATAACTGCCTTGAACCAACAACTTTGACACAAGTTCACTTAAGTGTCAACATACCAGGTTAAAGTTACTCAAAAATGTGATGTGATGCATACATCAAGACATTGCCACCAATGTACAACCTATGATACAAGTCTGAACCAGTAATATGTAATTTCCAGCCACTTAGCTGCAAACAAAATTTACATGGATTTTCCTTATCACTAAGTTCTATTTACTGGCTTTAGCAACAATGGAGTGGAAGGAAATTGATTTATAGGTCATATAAATCTTCTGAATTGGATATGATTGTGGTTTCAAATACCTGCTTATTTGGGATCCCTTTTGGTCTGTATCCATTTTCACACATTTAATAGGCAATGCCATGTTTTAATTTCCTACATTATTTTGGGACATTTCCTTCACACTTTAAAAATTTATAGCCCAAAGCTGTTTCGTGACTCATGTCACTAGTTTCTTAATTTCCAAGTTAAACAGGCCTCCATATTGCTACAAATAGTACATTTCCAAGAATCATTATCAAACAAGAACAGTTTGTCCCCATTCTCTGCAGATAGCAGTAATCTGAGGCTGTCTTTTCAACCTTGTTTCAATCTAATAGCTAGCCCATTTTGCTTTGGTTATTCCTACTATTTACTCTTCCACCATTTTAAGCTGACATGTAATTTCAGAGAATTGGTCAGATTCTTCATTTGATAACTCTTATTTCAAAAGTCTTTTTTCAAAATTCTGTAGGGTAGAATAACCCTACAGAGTGCATGGAAAGTTGTTTCATCCAAGTTGCTTTCCTGGGTAAAGAAATTACTTCAACACAGTTTAAGAAGTGTGTTGTTCTGTTTCTCAGCTCAAATGGTAAATTTCTCTGTAAAGTCATGTCTTGAAATTTCACAAAATATCCCTTCTCAGTGTGGGGTCAAATCTGTGTCTAATATGCAGCTGTGGTTGAGATAGGTGAGACCATGGCTTAAAGTCTTATTCAGTATGAGGGAGCATTAGGAAAATAAACTACCTGGGCTGACCTGAGGTAGATGTGTTTGATCACCAGTTGTTTATGTATCCCCTCTCTGTTGGCAGTTCACAAAAGATGTAACAAGCAGTGCCAACAACACTTTTACCCTGAACAGCCTAACAGAGCAAGCTGGAACAGCCCTTGCTTTTAATGCTAGCAAACACTTCATAAAAACAGAAAAATTGGAATTTGGGGCACTTTGAGATTGGAGCACTTGAAACACAAGTGAAGGGCAGCCAAGCTCCTGCCAAAAGACACTGTATGAGAAGCCCAGTCTGTCGGTCATCAGAAAATTACACCCAGCAGATCAGAGCTTCCACCGTCTCCCATGGGTTTGCGTCTCTTTGAGAAGACCCAGCGTGATGCTTTCAGCCTTTTTGTCACCCAGAGCTTCTCAGAAGACTGACAGTTAAAAGAACAATTTTTTCAAGTAATTAGAGGCCAGTTGCAGAATCTTGATCCTGAATCCACACTTGAAGGTGTCTTTTTCCTCCTCCTGTTTGGTTCACAAACAGAACTGTCATTCCCAATGCGTTTTGAAAGTGTATTTTTGTTTCTAAGCAGAAATTGGCAAAGGGGAAGAACTACAATTTATTCACCAGGAGAAAGTGGTGGTTGAGTCTGTTCTTTCCTCCATATGAACCACAGAAATGTATAGTCAACTTTTTTAAAATTTAAGTCTTACAAAAAAGCCATTCACTGTAAAAGAATGGCTGGAGTGGCTAAGAAGATTGTTTCCATCTTTCTGCTGACTGATTCAGTAGTTCCTGGTTATAGGTCTTTTGTGAATGATCTGTCTTCCCTATATTAGGGTTTAACAAAGCATCTTCTCTGTTGTCTGTTGAAAACAGACTTTTCTGAAAGATTAAGTGAAATCATATGCCCTCCAAGCTTTCCTCTCTTAATGATTTTAGTGCCATATTTTCTTCATATTGAAGTGTGACTTACACATTTTCCCTGGTTCTAAAAGTTTATTTTCTAACTGGGTCCATAAGGCAAAGCATAAGTAAATACATATTTTTGCCATACTAATGATAATTTTAAAAAGTAAAATAAAAAGATGGAGCTGAAATGTGAGGTCAATGCTAACCTCCATTTTATCGAATCAGCAATCCTTTCCCAAGAAGGCATAAGGGAATACATGTGTAAACATCATTCTGCTGAAATTTTTCTTCTTCCTGTAAACCACACAGAGTACAAAATATCTATCTAACCATTGGGAAATCCTGGTCCTATACCAGATATAAAATTATCATCTACTTTCTTGGAATCTGAAAAAATTACTGTAAGCAATTGAGCACTTTTCCAACTCATTTATATATTATTCACTAGAATGGTTGAACTGAAACTTTTGCTCATGCCAAAGCCTGTAAAACAGGCAGTTTAACAGAATCACTCAGAGGCAGCATTAACACCACATTTCAAACTGCTAAATGTGACATATGTACCCATTCCAAGTGGAGAACAATTCATCTCATTGAGGGATCTACATGCTCAAATAGGATTAACAGATGAAAATGAAATCAAACCACAACAAAATCTTTGTATAATAGGAAAATCTATCCCATATTTCAGAGAAAGCTGCTCATATTAGAGTTTTAAACTTTCATTTCATATTTCTATTTTTCATAGTTGAATGGCTGGGCAGCCCAACATCACGATATTGCAGTCCTTAAAAAGCACCTGATGAACTGTGCAAAGAGTTTTCAGAAAGGGGGCTGGAGGGGGTGTATGAATATCTCCTTTCTCTCAGAAACAGGCCAAACAAAGGTGTAATGACCTTCAGTTAAGCTTTATCTCTTCCATCTGCAGAGGTCTGAAGAACCTTTTCTCTAAAAATGTAAGGCGATAAGAATCATATGTAATTGGCAGCAATTTTCCTATGACAAGTACTTTAAAAGTTTTTTATGCTAAGAATTTCTGAAAGTTGTCTTTTGGGTTGTTTGGGTTTGGGGTTGTTTTGGGGAGGATGGGGGGTGGGAAGGGTGCATCGCTTAAGAGCCAGGGAATAATTGGCAAAAACCAAGGGCAAAGAAGCAATGAAACTCTTCCACACTCTGGATACTTGATATTCAAATGATGGAAATCACCTTCACCTGAGTTCCTATTCAGATAAGCATTGTAGATTTCAGTAAAGTGAGACCTTGTAACTTCAGGCAGCTGTGTGATACCGGATGACAATATTTAATCTTTGGACCCAAGTAAATCCATATGAAACTGCTCAGATGCTATGGACCAAAGCACCTGCTGCCAGAACTTTGATGTTAAAACCTGAGGACTAAAGAATTTTCTAGCATAGGCAGCTCTAAGCAGGAGCTCGGTAACTCAGAATCAACCTGCCCTATTGCCATAATTAAAAGTAAAATTAAAACTAAATATAGTGCAATAGTTGTCTGTTCTCTATGTGGCTATGCCATAATTAAAAGTAAAATTAAAACTAAATATAGTGCAATAGTTGTCTGTTCTCTATGTGGCTATGAACCCATTTGACCAAGCAAGGTGGAAATTGTTCTGACACTTTCAGGACTTCACAGACCTTATGTAGACTGTAAGACTAGAGGAGCAACACAGTGAACTCTGACTTTCTTGTTAAAGTTTCTAAAACAATGTTTACATGTATTCAAAGAGGGCAAGATTGCAAGATTGCAAGATTGCAAGTGAGTGTGCAGGCTATTTTCTTGAACATAAGTGCATGGAACAAGTTCTATCTTTGATTCTGAATTTGTCACGAAACCAGCTGTAAATCTATCTGTGGATTCATTTCTTGTCACAAACTGACACTGTGATTCATTACTTTCATAGAGCAGACAGGAAAAAAAAAGGATAACATAAAATTTTAGAATTTTCAAAATCCAGTCATGAATATAAACTTGGATCCATTATAACCATTCACCAAGTGAAGTGATCTTACAGAAGAAAACATCGATATGGAAAATTATGTGAATTAGTAAAAACAGTATGAAAACTAAAAATACAGAATATTGAATGTGTAATCAGGATATAGCTGTTTCAAAAGAACAGCTATGGGTTGATTATAAATAGATGAAGCAAAACTTTTAACCCATTTATAAAGGTTTAATTCAAGCTTTTCTGGATTGAACTAAATTCTAGGTTCTTACTGGTTTTAGAAATCCACCAGTAAAGATATAAGAAATTACTAGATATGAATAGATATCTCAGGCCAGAGATGTTAGGGTTGAGATATATGTTATGCTAAGTAAATTCATGCCTTAGGGAAGGACTGAAGATTCTTTTCTGTGCTGGCACAATACTGTTCTGGCTTCTGTGGGTGTTGCAGATGTGTTGATCTCCCATTTGTACCCACCTGTGAGGCATCTGTCATGCCATGCAAAAAAAAAAAAAAAAACAACCAACAAAACAACCTAACCTAAAGGAACCCTCTGAATTCCAAACAGAAAACATTGAGAGACATATAGGTCACGCAAACACAATGAGAAATGAGGCAGTGAATTTGTTTGGGACAGTCATGAGCGAGCCACAATGCAGGCTCTTGAATACAGGGCAACAGGCAATAATAGTATGCTATAACAGAGAGTTTGACCTCTCATCTCTGAAACATCATCTTGCCCAGCACTTCTCAGCAGCACTTTGTTGACATGTCACCACAGGCACAGGAATTCACTCACAGCACCACCAGCTGAAAGTGATAGAGCAGCCACAGCCACCACAGCTGACTGTCTCTGGAAAAACATGGTGCCTTTCTCCCAGGCAGATATTGAAAGTATCTGCTAGTAACACTACGATTTTAAAATTTATTCCTTTGTGTTTTCATGCAAGAGGGCAGCCTGTGATAAATGTATGAAATCATGGAATAGAGTTAAAGAATAATTTTATCTATAAACAATGTAGACGAACAGCTTCCACTTCTGTCTGTGAGCAATAGTAGAACAAAGGAGATTAATAGTGTTGAAAAGATGAACAAATTATGTGACAACATGGTTTACTAGTGAAGAATCACTGTGGAGAATAAGAGTTCTTAAAGTTTTTCCAAGGACTGATGATACAAGAATTGCTTCATTTATTTCTTCTAGTTCAGATTACTCACCTGTTTTTGCATTATGTTTGAGGAGTTACACCCAGCTTCCTGGTCCCACGAGGCAGTATGCAGCACTCTTCGCCAAAAATATTATTCAGTTTGTCAGACATAAAAAATATTGATTGCCAATTTAAAGCAAGACATTGCTGGGGCTCTGGCTCTTATTAAATTTCCAGTTAGATACTTAACTAATTTATTTTTAAAGAAGAATCTATTTTTACTGCTTACATAGGAGTTTTACAGTTCAACAAAATAACATAAAACCTCATTAAGTCTTCATAGAAAAATAACTTTGCAAAACAGTATTTTCTATCTTCAGTATGTTGAAATAGATAAAACATAACAACAGCTGATGTATTAGGGGACATTAGCAAAAAAAATACCCAAATCTGTATTAATATTCCCAGACAATTATGTTATTCAATGTGAGAATATCTACTCTATTGTTCCTGTATTAATTGCTATGTGTATGTCACCATGTCCTTTTTCATTTATATTTCTCAACTTGCTAAATGCCAAACACTGGATGATTCGTTCCTGTAGTGCAGTAATGTCCAAAACACAAAATAAGGCAATCTAAAGTAGAACTAACACATGCTATACTAACACCAAATGGTATTAAATTAGATTAAGACATCTTCCATCAAAATATGTTCATTAAAATTCTGTGCATGTAGTAAGAGAGATCCAGATGGGTAGGAGCAGTTGAGAAATAAAATGTATAGCTGTGTTATGTCTGAAGACGGGTGGCAATATTCTCTGTGGCTACAGATTGTGTGCTTGCACATCTTTGAAAACTCCTCTCCTCAAAATCACCAAATGCAAAGAACATTTCACAGGGAATATGAGGAAGGTCCACTGGGGCTTTCATTTTTACAAGATTATGGTATGAAATGTTTCAGATGAATAACTGGTTTTCTGTCCCTTTAATCAGAAAATCAGTGTTAATCATTCTGTTTCGTTCTTTTTTTCCTTCAGGCTGTTGATTTGAACTGGTAACATGACTGGAGAAAAAAAATATGGTGGTGTACTATTTGATTTAGAGCACCTTATTCTATCTGAAAACAAACTTCATCTGCAAAAGATGATAAAGCAATATTTGAATGTAAAATATAAAAGTGAAAGTGTTTGCAGCATGTGATTTTGATAAGTTATATTTTTTCTTAATGTCGGTGGTACTGTTGTCTTACAAGTTTTTAGTAACCAAATGCTCCTGTCCTGTACAGCAAGGTCTACTAATCACCGACCTGCAGAAAGTTCTGTCTCCACTGGCTCATCAGCCAGTAGTTTTGGCAGTGGATACAGCATGGATAGCGAAGGCAGCAGCAGTGCCACTGGAGAGAATAATTTATTTCCCATCCCAAGAATGTAAGGCTTTTCCGTTAATATATTGTATCCTCCATGCACAATTTATAGCACTTTCACTTGCCAGTCATCTTCTTATGTGGTTTCCTCTGCAGACTTGAATTATGCAGTAGAATAGCAGCTAACTGGGGAGAATTCCCCAGAGTTCACACTTTTATTCTGCTTTGTTGAGCACTGAATTGTTAATAACCAACCAAGCCTCTGCCTCAACCTCATGTATTTCTTCCTGTCAAACAGAAGATGCGCTGCCCTCAGCCTTTGATGAAAGTGTGTAGAGGTGGGCTTGGCTTATGTTTTAAAAGTACAATTACTGTAGGACTGAGAAAGCTTAGTTTAAGTTTTCAGATTTTCCTCCCTCTGCAAAGTTATTAGTGCAAGAGGAATTAATACTCTGGATACAGCCCAACCTTTAGTTTTTAGGAGTTTCAGTAGAATTTCTCAGTGCAAAAAGCCTTTTGGTACAGAGTCCCTGTAGGAATTATCAAGCTGCTATCAGCATAATGATCCTACAAAATGATTTAATTTTCCAAATTTTTTATCCAGTTATGTATTCCACAGAGAAAAGTTTCACCAGGATTTTTTCACCTCCTCCATCAACATGCACCATCATTTAGCAATTTAATTCATATTCCCAAATAGGACAAAGCACCTTCTGATAAACTTAATAATTCTGGTCAGAAAAAAAATTTACAGATTGACTGTTCTCAAAATATTAGTTGGTGCTCATTGTTCATTCATTGTCTGCAATAGATGTTTAATATTTCCTCTGGAATCAAAGTTTTTGCTTTGCCCTTGAAATTGTGAACTATTAGTCACAAAAAACATAAGCTTCCTAGAAAACTCCAGAAGTGAGGTATTTCTGAGTATTTATCATTTTCAAAAATAAAGTCCAATAGTATTTGTCAACATCTTGTTAGCAACTAAAGGGAAAATAGAGATAAATCTAGACTTCCATCTCACCTTCAGAATCTAGGAGGACTATGTGAGCTTAGGTTGTAGGGTGCCAATTTTTTGATTTGTATTGGATTTTCACTCATGTTGTTCTAGGCTAAAAGATGATCTTGGTCTTTGACAACATGAAAAGGAAAAGAAAAATATTGGCCTGTCATTCCTAGTGAGAAAAGCAAGGATGCATAAAATCTTTGTGCACAGAAACACAAGATGTAGCTCACAATAGAAATTTTCAGTTCACACATGCCAAATTTGAGTCCAAATAACATCATTTACTGGGTACTGACTAGCAATGTGACAGTACCTGAAGTTAGTTGCTATTTGACTGACAGACTCTTTGGTCTCTTAAGCCTGAAATTAGCCTCACTTCTACTGAAAAGCAGGAGGAAATCTCCACAGCTTCGAATTTTCTCTCATAGAAATTTGTTCTTATGAATTATACTTAATTAAATTAAATATAATCATGTCTCTTTTTTTGTAAGGCTACACTATTTTATTTTTTTTTTAATTATGGCATTTTAAAGTAAGTTATTTATATGCTGATATTAGACAGAGTCTTTAAAATTACACAGGAAATTTATACTGACAGGACCTGCTTCATTTTTCATGTTAGTCTCCAGGGCTTTACATAGTAATGTAAGGAAAATGAATAACAAAATAGCTGTATACCATCAGATCATTCATGGAGAGAATGTTTAAAATTGATAACTATTTCCATTTTGAATTCTGTATAAAAATTCTTACTTATCTGAATATATGTATAATTGAAACTCTACTCATCATTTGCATTCACACTGGCTTGATAATGACTTCAGGGGCTATGACCTTGTACTCTATACAAACCCAAATCCATGAGACCACAGCTTACAGTTTGGATGTGAACTATATAGTGGGAAAAATATTTTTAAGTATCTTGGCATGTGAAAACCTGTTTTACATTTTACAATTTTGGTTATAAACTATATTTTCTTAGACCTAGTTTCTGGTCTATCAATAGAAATTTTTGGATATGATGAATTTTAAACTCTTGGTTTTAGTCCAAGTGCTTTTAACCCTAGGAGTCTATCAATAGAAATTTTTGGATATGATGAATTTTAAACTCTTGGTTTTAGTCCAAGTGCTTTTAACCCTAGGAACAATTAGTCTTGAAGCAGAATAAAATAATTAAATAGTGACACCATGAGAATTGTTTGATGAGGTAACTAATTAGGATACTTGCCAATATTAAGCAACTATAACTATCAAGGGAAATTAATAATTATATACAGTTACATAAATCTGAATATATCTTGTAAAGACTTTCTAATTTGTTTTTTTAAAAAACTCCTATTATCCAGTTGTAATATTCCTGAAAGCTACTCATCTTCTTACCTCTGATGAAGACCAGATTCTCTGTCTTTGTATTGTGTAACTCTTTATAGAAGTATGTTAGCTGTAAAATGAATTTTGAAAGCAAAGGTGAAAAACAATTGAATGATGTACAAGGAATATAACTCTTGGGACAAATAATTCTTGTATCATATTTGTAATGATTTATGAAATATTACCTACAGAAGAAGAAAGGAATAGTTTTCAGTTAAAACTGAATATAAAATCACTTGAAAAACTGTGATTTTATACCAATGTTTTAGTTCTCCATGAATTAGACAACTTCAGACATGAAGCTGGCTCACAGGTAGAGAACAGGTAAACAGTGCTGACCCTTTATCTCCTAAGGAATCACATGCAGCTGAAGATAATGCTTTGTAGTCTCCATCTCAGCAGAGTCTTAAGGCCAAAAGAAAACTGGAAGCACAAATGTTTGAGTGATTGTAGTCATGCCTTAGAGCTTGCAACAAGTATATTTAAAGACAACTTATATTTTACCTAACTTTCATTGTGTAAAAATAGACATCAAGATTCCAATGCAGGTTCTTTCTACATAAAATAAAGGAAAATAGGGAACTCTAGAGCATGATTTATCCTCAATTTACTGTAAATTTTCAGAATTGTTTCTTGTGGCAGACAAATCTAAACTGTAAAGTAAAGGAATCATTTAAGGAGATAACAACCACAAGAATGCCTTACCTTTGAAATAATGGTGTTGTAGACCAGACATAAATTTTTGTGACTGCTTATTATATATTTCCCTGTTGACTATAACAAGATAAAGTGAGAAGATATGCAGCCCAAGATTGATGTGGGGCAAGTAGCAGACAGCTGATGGACCCATTCTGTAAGAATGTACAGACTTAGCAAGATGTGATTGCAGTTGCCTTCAAAAGAGAAAAAAGTAATATTCTTAAAAGAATATTAAAAGCCTTTAGTGTATCATTATTCTAACTTTCATCTTTATGTGGTTTTATTGACAACAACCACCATATCTTTTAACAGAGGGAAGATGAGCCAGAATGGACAAGAACCAGTAAAGCAGTCGGGAGTAGGAGTAACCGATTCAGAAGGTAAAAAGAAATGAAAACAGATCTACAGTGGTACCTGTTTGTAGGAAGGATGTGCCTAATTCTTTTACTTGTTATGCTATGAAAAATTAGTCTGTGCTCTCTTTGTATTGTAGATTAAAATCCTGACCTTCATTTTCTCTGAGGGCCCTTTACACAGAACACCAATGTAATGAGTCTTCAGTTTAAATGAGAATGGTGTCTTACCTGTTTATTTAAAGTAATTAAATAGTTAGATTACAATGAATAATATATTATATCTGTCTTCTGATGTTCAATGCTTTCCAAATAAAAAATACAAAGTATAGAGCTGACTCAACACTCAGTGGATTCAAAGAATATATGTAATGCCTGTCAGGCTCTATTTTTATAACATTTCAGAATATTTACTTCATTAAAAATATTAATATTAGGGTTTACATAAAACATTAATTTTAAATAAAAATATTAACTGAGCATGCTTGACTGCTGCGCTTAATGCAGATGCACTATAATGAAACATTTATTGGATTGGGAAATCCTGAGTGATTTTGTTTTGGTATTAATGTGATGCTGAGAAAGAAGACGACATCATAATATTGGAACTGGAAAGTGCCTGAGAGAATGACTTTCAAAATTTCATAGGGAATGTGATCAATTTTTTTCATGTGCAATAATGGAAAAAAACTACATGAAAATGAAGATTGTTTTGTACTGAAGGAGATGTTATGAAAATTCTATTTCCCTTTACCTATAAGGTATATTCTTTCAAGCGTATGTTTATGTTGACCTCAAATACAATACTAAATTATCATGACCTTCATTTTAATTTTAAAATAAGACCTTTGTCATTTAGATGCATTTCAATGCAGCTCTGAGTATCAAGTAATTCATGAATTGGAATTTATACATATAATTGATAAATTGATCCTAAGTTTAGTCATTTAAAGAAACCAACATTTTATGGGTTTCTAGAATCTCTATACATGGGGAAATAATTGCTGTTTCCATATTTGAGGTAAAAGCAGTCTAATGTTCCACAGAGCTGAAGAAACCAAATTGGAATTTACAGGTAGATATGTAAAGTTCTCTTTTCCAAAGCAAAAATTCTTACCCATGTATATTCTTACCAATTTTAGTAAATATTTCCATACATAGTAGTCATTAAAAAAATACTTAATAATCTGCTTTATCACATATCAAATACTTTGATAAACTTCCTATCAAAATTCAATTTCTCAATAGTATATTTAAACATTTAAAAAAGAGTCTGTTTTTTAAAGGAGAAATGGTGGGATGAAAATGGGAAGTCACGAATTTTTCATTTGTATTTTGTCATGATGAGTTTTCTACAGATTTATAACTGTAAAAAAATACCTTTTCATTATTTTGTTTAACATAAGTTGCCCCTTAGGTTATGCCTTGGATCCTAAATTTCAGAGCCTACAAATACAATATATTTTCATTTCTCATTGATATTGTTAATTAACCCCAAAACCCAAACAAACCCAAAGAATAAGAAACAATACCCAAAACAACTTTTGAAACATTCTGAAAGATGAGTACATAGCATTTGGTCTAAAACTACCTTTCCAAAGTTATGGTTCTTCCTGGCTTCAAAATTTGAAAATAGCTCAAGAGCTGCATTTCCCTAATTTTCACTTTCAATGCAATTCACCTTTGCTACCTTGGGAACTCTAAGTGTTACAATTCCTAATCTGATAAAATGACCTGTTCTTATTGAGTGGTTTTTGCCACAGAGAGGTTGTCAGCCTGGATTTTAGTGTCTGATTTCTAGCTAAGAGAAAAAATGTCAGTGTCAAAGGATAAACTAAACTAAAAGCTGGAAAACAATTCAAGAGCATTTGAGTTTCAGCATGTAAATATGAAATTATTTCTTGGGAAAGTAGCTCAGAATTTAGAGGAACTCAAGGTTAACTGAGAATTACTTCAGTATTACAGATTTATTGTGGCAATCTTTTTATAGATGAATAAAAGAGAATGAAAATCTTAAAATCATGTCTTTTCCGTAGTTCACTTACCTGTGTTGTGGACCAGATGACTCTTAATTAAGTTGAAACAAATATTCATTTCCACTTTTCATTAACTGTAGAGATCTCCCATAGCTGGCATTTCTATTCTGATTTGCAAATAATGACTTGGAGTCACGTTTAAAACTTTTTAATAGTTACCCTTTTTTTTACATTTTCAGATATTTTTAGGGCATAACTTCTCTAAAAAGTAGCCTTGGGTTAGTCTCTTTAAAATGGTGAATAAATTTGATTGATTTAACATGCATATCTACTGCTATGTGAAACGTTTTAGTCATCCAAGCCATTCACATGGGCCTGACAAATATGGCAGGGGACTTAGAGCATCTTTAAGACCAGTAGCTGCAGGCAAAGCAAGGTAGGACCCTCAAATGACAATGAGAATTAGTTTCTAGGTGGCTGAATCAAAACTGTAGCAGCAGGGTTTGAGTTCAGCTCACAGGGGTATGACAGCAAAATTTAGACATTTACATAAATTGAATCTCCAGGGAAAAATGCTCATCTTGTAATTGTTTGCCCACTTCTGTTAATGTTTTGTTGGGAATAGTTCTTGTGTTATTAGCATATATTAGTATAGTTATTCTGGAAAACAGTAATATTTACTTTGCTGATATAACCAAATGGTCAATATAAACAACTGTGATTCTGTGTATGATAATTTTGTTTCTCTGAATATCTTCTCATATTCTGTATTTTTGTACTCCTTAATAATATAAAAAAAAAACTCAGAGTTTTGTTCTTGGACACTGTATTAGTTATTTTTATGATATGCATTGTTGCATGCTATCTTACTCTGGCATTCTGCCCTGAGCAGATGAAATACTTCATCTTCTTAAGCTTCAGTAAATCCTATTATACATATTGTGATCACCACTAAGTTATGCAAGCCAACTTCTGTATTTGTTTCAGAAAGTGCAATATACCTTGTTCAAAGATTTCTTATGACATGGTTAGAGCATTACAGACATTATAAAAAGCCCAATTGCACCCATGTAAGGATTGAAGTTAACAATTAAAAGCACATGATTAATATCTTGATTCAGTTGTAGATCATGATTGGTCTATCTGTCCTATGATGTTGCTCAGCCAATGGGCTGTGTTGTCCACCTACCAATCTTTTATCCACTTAAAAAATATATGGGGAAAATTATTTCCATACATTTTAAGGGTGTGAATTCGATAGGTACTGCCAAGACGTCATTATTTCTAGTAGAAAAGAGATATATAGATATAAATAGCACTGTCATGGACATGTTGTATCTTCTCCTTGTGAAGGTTTTGTATGCATGCAAAACATCATTTATCAATCATTCCTCAATCCTCAAGCACTGAGACTCACCTCAAGCAGAGATTCTTTTAAGAGTATGTCAGGGTTTTTTGAGTGAATGAGTACTCACTGTGCTTCTGTCATCCTCTGTGGTTGGCCTTATTGTTGTGAGGATTTTCAGTCAGAAAATTGCAATCTTTCTACAGGAGCAGTGGAGTACCTCACCCACATCTTCCAAGAGAGTGAGGTTCTCTTACCTTTTTCTTTTATTACTCTCCAGCCCATGTCCTGAATACCAAAAACCTCTGTTCACTGTTCAGCCACGTCTTAAAGGTTCACTTTATGACCTTTCAGTGGTCCTTTGAGCCTCATACTTTGAGTGCATTTAAACAAGGTTCTTAAAGTAGGAAACTGTCTTCCTCTGCAGATGATTGAACCTGAACAGAAAATTTCAGGGTGTTCTAGTAAAGTCCCAGTAGGCACATTTCCATAGGCCAACAGAAGGAATAATTTACACCATTTCAAAATCTAAAGGTGCACACATACTTCCTGAACTTCTACAAAATGATATGATAAAGTTATGCTCTCATTTAGTATAATCTTTTGTGAACTCCTGCAGGATTTTTCTTTTTTTTTTTAATGCTAGTAATTTACCTAAGTCATAGATATAGAAAGGGAAAAAAACCCAAAACCAAAAAGCAAACATAACAACAGGAAACCTCAAGCATGCTCTGTGATCATATTTTAACAGGCAATTTTTACCATATTGTGGGCTTAATTTCATCTATTCAGAGTAATCTAAGATAAAAACACACTTTTTTTTTCTTAATTTTTGGAGCTTTGTGGTTCATTAGCCAAAATTATAAACTAAGAAATTCCGTTTTAATGGTTTAATTTCTTAATTCTGTGTTTCAATAATTAAGGCAGTCAAATCATTATTTATGAGAAAAATAATTGAAATACCACAGAAACCTTAAAACATTCTAGGAGTCATTCAAATAAGATTTTGGAAAGGTGCATGACCCTCTGACTGGGAATCATTGACTTGTAAATGTTCCTTTTTAGCTTTCAGAACAGTCCTAGTGAAATTCTCATCCATCCTTTCTGAACAGAATAAACCCTGAAGCAAATTGTCTTGCAAACTATTTCACACTGTCTCCTGAAGAGGAGCTCCCAGGGGTGATAAGCGGATTATCTCTCTTGAGTAAAACAAGTCATGGAACAAACTGACAGAACAGGTACAGCTAACCAATGCCATATTCCTCAGAGTAATTGAAACTTAGAAAAAAGAATTCATTTTGACTTGCTCTTTAACTAGGCTAGAGCAACACTGTTTAAACCACAGGACTTAGTGTGCTATGACAAAGAACAGGCTAAGGGCTTGCTGCATCTCACACCTTAAAAAACTAGCATTTTTATTTCTTTTAAATCTGAAGGTTGAAATCTCAGAAGTACAATATTAGTCCTTACGAGCATGTTCAGAGAAAAATGCTCTAATATTGGAATTTCAACAAGAAAGTTACAAGAGGAGAAAAAAGGCAGATGAAGAAAGTTATTAACAGATAATTACTGCACAGTTACTGATATTTGGAAATGCTCTTGCATATGCACAAATCTATACTTTGAAGTCTGGTTTGTCAAGGCTAAAAATAGGTTTATTGCAGGTGAGAAACTTTCTTGCATTAGAATGATCAGAGACAGAACTCCTCTCCTATGGAGGGAAGCTGAAAGAGTTGGGCTTGTCCAGCCTGGGAGACCTCGTTGTGGCCTTGAAATAGATAAAGGGGAGTTATAAAAAAGTAGAAAACTTTTTACCAGGGCCTACAGTGACAATGGTTTTAAACTGAGAGTAGATTTAGATTGAACATAAGAGGCACTGGATCAGGTTTCCCAGAGAAGTGGTTTCCCTAACCCTGGAAGTGTTCAAGGATAGGTTGGATGAGGGTTTGAGCAACCTGGACTAGTGGAAGGTGTCCTGTCATGGGGTGGGGTTGGAGGTAGATGATCTTTAAAGATCTCTTCCAACCCAAACCATTCTATGACTCTTTGCTATGAAATAGTTGAGAAAGATTTTTGAAGGGCTCAACAACACACAAACTGCAAACATCTCGGTTCAGTGTGAGTGGTGCTCTGGGAACTGCTGTCCACTCAGGTGCTTGACAATTACAGAAGTAAAAACATTTCCATCCTTCAGCAGTGATTTCTTCTGTACCTTTGATCAGGCACCCACATTTCACAGACTTCATCCAGTGTTTTGTTTCGAACAGATAAGTCAGTAACTCTGTGCCAGGAAATTTCCACTTTCTTATTAGTTTCTTACCTTTGGATTGTTTCAGCTCCTGAAGCAAAAGCAGAATGTCACATATAAGGTATTGGGTAGCAAGAATCTGAGAACTGTTATTTCTGAGGAAAATGGCAAGTATCATTACATAGCATACAAATGCTCTTTCTATATTTATGTCAGGAAGTGACTGAATAGGCAGAGGAACTATGAATTCAAATGTTGGAGTAGTCTTCAATTTACTTAAAAATCATAAACTAATGTATTTATTTTTCTTAAATTTTCTTAAATTTTCTTAAATTTAGTTAAATGGAACTAAATATAAATATAAATATAGCAATATAACTAAGTATTTATAAATGGCCAAGTCAGAAGCAGTCACTTTCACCATAGTGGAGTAGTTCTATGTTTCTGGACCAAGGCTTGATCAAATTATTTTAAAGACCTTTATAGACTGGATCCCAAAACCACAAGAAGCATCATCTAATTAGGTCAAATACTATCTTTGACATTTGCTGCCTTCCCAACACCTCAAATAACTCTTAAGTTTTGCACATTTAATCCTAACATAGAGCAAAATGTATAAGAACCTGGAAAAAATCTGGGCTTGTATTTTTTTTTAATCAGAGCCTTATACTGACCAAGTATGAGACTGTTGACTTGACTGTTGACTTGTTGGATATTGATCCATGGATTTAAAGAGAAATACAGACAATCTGAAATGTTACCAACATGGACTTGAACAGAGGTTGAATTGCATTTTTTAGTTCTGAGTTCATGTCATGTACATAGCAAAAGAAATTGCTGCACATTCTCATTGTCTTTCCTTAAGAGCAATGTAAACCTGTTGATCTCTTTTTAAAAACCCATTTTTAGTGCTTGTAATACCTTCTTTTATAGTCTTTTTGCCCTTCTGATTTACATGTAGAAGAGGTCTTTCTGCAAAATAAAATAATACTGATTAAAACGTGATCCATTCCCAACATGAGATCTAATTGAAAGAAGAATAATTGCCAAACTTCTCTACTATCTCTATAAATAAAAAGGCTAAAATTCAACCTGACTTTGTATAATTTGTCTTTAATATAAAATCAGAACATTGCTTTCTGCCATTACCTTCTACAGGGGGTCTGCCATCTACAACTCAACAGCATAATTTTAATCAATGCCAACAAAATTTAAAGCAGAAAATACAAGCAAGAGTAATTTCTCACATGAGCAGCTTCTACATTACAGAGGAAGAAAAAGGGATATAAGGGAATAGAAAACAAGTACCGAAAGCACTTGCAGACAGCCTGTCATATGTTGATTCTAAGAATTGAAAAGATCAGATATACTTTTCTGTCACAAGGGATCCTTAAGAAATTAATCAGGTCTATGTTCTGACAGTAGTCTTTATCCTCTCTTTTTTAAAAAGAAAACTATATTTAACATGTTCCCTTAAGCTAGGAATAGCCTTACTACTGATGCCTAAAAAGCTGAGTCAAGATAAACAACAGCAGCTTTATAAACCTGAGTATTATCAGCTTCCTCCCTAAACACTGAGAAGTATTTTTTTATCTATCCCCAACTGGCCCAACATTCTAATTTCCCACCTGGCTCTGCAGTAATAATTGGAGCAATTAGTTCTGCCTTCCTGAGGTCTTTGCCAGTATAATCCAGCTGGTTTTCCTAAAAAGAAGCAGAAAAAATTTAAACAAGAAAACAGTTTGCAGCCAGAGATAAAATGTAGAGGAAAAAAAGGACAAGTTCTCTGTTCTCGCATCCACATCACAAAGAACATTGATTTACAGTGTTATAAATCAGCTTTTTTCCTCAACTGTCAGGGTAAAGAGTCATCAAAAGAAAAGTAGATAATCCAGGGAAACTGTGCTTAACTAGTAGCTGGTCTACAGTTTCTGCAGTTCTGAGTTCCATATGAAGATAAATGAAACAACAAAAAAGCTGAAAAGCACAAGTATTTCTTCTGAAAATCAAAATATCACTCCTTTGATGTGAAACTTCAGTAATCATCTGGAAAGCTAATTTGTTTGCTTAATATTATTAATCACTTTAATTGGCCTAGCTCTTAAATGCATTTCTGTTAATGTCAAGCTTCTTGGAACTTTGGTGACTTCTTGGAGTTGCAATGAGCTCATTGTTTGGGCTGGGAATCAGAATGCTAGTAATTCTATCAAAAATCTACAAATATAATTGAATTAATTTCAGAATAAAAAATATGGTAAATTCTGGAACCTATCTCTTTTAATAAGATGTGGTTATGAAGAAAAATCTGATTTAATACTACGTGACACATTTAGTATAAATAACCAGTTAATAATGAAGACTGTCAACACTGGAATGCAAGCAGAGGGATCCCCCAACAAAACTGGAGTGCAGGTGAAGGTGCTGGAGTGTGATTAACTGAACCTGAGCCTTGTCTGGTGTAAGTCTGAAGAAGAGCTGCCTTACCTAGTGAGTAATTTAAAACCACTTTGAAATAGAGTCATTTTCCATGATTAATGTTCGTTTAGTATCAGTAAAAGTCAAGTTGAGACATTACTATGCTGGAAGGTGAATTGCTAAATCCTAAATGGTTTCCCCTCTGTCATGAAACTAAAACTAGGACTTACTAAGTAAGGCTTTTAAATGTCAGTTTCCTGGAAGATTCAGGTGATCTCTTCCATTTAGCAGTATGATTAGGATTTGGAATTGTGTGCATGCTCCAAGGAAAAAAAAAGTAAATGAAATAAATCTATTCTAAAGTCAATAATATTCAGTACTCAAATTTTTATAAACTATTCAGTAGTAAGAATGATGTTAAGGGGGCTTCTAGAGGTCATCCCAATTATTCAAGGCACAATATTGTTCCCAAAAAGGCTTCTTTTAACTTGCACAAAAAAATTCATAATATTGATAAAGACTTAACAGCTTCATTATTCTGTTCTACTGATGAACAGTAATATGTTTTTCCTGTGTTCGAGCCTAGTTGCTTGCTGAAATTAATACTCAAGGACAGAAATAAGAATCCAAATGCAAGAGCTTCCATTCACAAGTATAGCATATTTTATCAAGCACTTCTGGTAAATAGCTTATTCCAAGCTTGCTTACAGACGATAACACAGTTGTTCTATGGAAGACTTCTGTATTAGAACTTCACTTTTTCTGTATTTATTTGAGATGTTAAAAAACCCCAAAACCAATATTGTCATAACCTCTTTCTATACTAGACAGTCCTTTGTAGCTCCTTGATGTCTTAATATTATTTTTTGGGGTTTTTTTTAGAATAATTTATAACTTAGAAACTAAACTATCATGCTGGGGATTCAGAAAAGAGGTTTTTTATTTACCCTCACATGTTCTTGAGTACAACTCCTTTTTTTGGACTGATATTCAAACTGTTACTTTGGAATGGTGTTGAAATGCAGATAAATCTAGAGCATTTCCAGGTGGGATCACATGGCAAGCTAAAATTAAACTTCAGCTGATCATCATTTTAGCATGTGAGAGTCCTCAAATTATTGGACTGTAAACTGTGTTCCAAGAGAGAAGGCTTTAAAAATCAGTGCATTAGAATGAATATAAATCTTTTCTGTGATGACAATTCCTGAGTAGGTCCAAGTCTTGTGGTAGAGAGTGTGCTTTCATGTCTATAACTAGAAGCTCATGCTTTGTCCCCACTTTATTTTCAGTTTAATATAATCTTTCCATAATGTTCATTATTGCATCCTATGATAGCAGTTTTACAGGCTTGTAGCTCTAATGAATTAAGTTATCCACTGCTGCAGTTTCTGAATAATGGCTTGTCTGTTAGGGATAAGCTTTGATGTGTGTGTTTCTCATAAAGAATTCCTAAAGGTTTGTCCTGTAAGGGCATTTGTGGTTACTTTAGGCCATTATATTTTGGTCTTCCCTTTTGTGCATTATTTATTCTGACATTACTAAGCTATGACTGGAGGGAATCAAATGGACAGTAGACAGCCAAATCTAGTGGCTCAAAGTAATATAGTCTGTGTGTAGAAATTGATGCAAAAGTTATCCTTATCTGCAAAGGGATTCAGGGTCTCCAAACATAGGTGTATTCTGCTGTTTTAAGTACTCTATTTTTCTGCCTCAATCCAGTTGCTGTTCCAGAAAGTCATGGGTATCCCACAGATTCTTAATTAAATCTGCCATTCCAGGTCAGCCAGTCCTTTTCCTTTGGTTAGGAGCCAAAAGATTATAATGAAAATTTAAAGCATTTTTTTTAGCTTCCTTATCTAATGTTTAGGTAGGTCATATCAGATGAGATTAGTTCTCCTAAACAGTCTTGGGTTTGCATTTGTGTTAGTACCATCCACTGCAGAAGTCTTTATTTTCTGAAAACACCCTTTGGTATGTTTTCTGTAACACCTTCTTTTTAAATATTTTTTTAGATTTTATTTTAGATTTTATTTTTTTCTGGTTTTTTGGTTTGTTTTGTTTTTTTTTTTTTGGCTTTGCACTATGACTGATTACAATGTAATAACAACATGACTGAATTCACATGCCTTGAAAAAAATACAAAAATCTGGAGATCACCTGGGTCAAATATTTGATGCAAACATCTGCCTTCATGTTTCACCCCACTGTAGTACCTAGAAGTGCACACTGTTTTCAGAAGCCTGCTAACATATTGCCTAGGATAATTATACAGTTTGGGTGATTTACTGGTCCCATGTGTAACTTGTATCACTGTATCAATGCCTACTACGGATTCTTGCTGTTTCCTCCCGCTGCTCGTCCAATATCTATAGCATTCTTCACCAGCCTCCTGATTGCCTTGGCCGTGCCTGGCTGAGTGTTTAGCTTTTTAGAAATTCATGTTCATGGAACAGTCTGTTATATTCTCAAAGGAATTGGATTCTCACTGATCTGAATACAATTATTTGCCTTTTCTATAAGCTATACCCTTCTGACTAGTCTAATTGTCTGAGGAGTTCCTTCTTTCTTGGCAAGTAAAATAGAGAAAAGGAGAACTTTCCACCTTGTTGCTGGACATTAGCAAAACTAACAAAAAAGACGCCTTATCTCATTGTTTATATGTTGGTTTTAAGACTATTTTGGGTTTCATTTGTATTTTAAAGCAGTATACAAGTCTCAGACTTTATAGTCACATTTTCCCCATCATTTTTTGGAAAAGTGAAGCCTACACCACATCTACACTGAGTAACTTCCTACTTAGTGCATTCTTTTCAAACACATACACAAAACAAAGTTTTCTAAATTCCTGTAAAATTGTGATACAAATTGTTAAGATTCAGAAACTATCAGTGTAACAATAGGTTTTTAAAGTCCATGATAAATATGTACATGAAAGCTGTCGTTTCCAAATAAAGGAATCCAAACCATGTTAGAAAAAGAATAAAAGAAAAATACCATGAGATTTTTTTTCCTGTTGATGAATATTTTGGACATAAAAAGAGCTTTCAAAGCAATAGTTAAACAGAATTTAAGAAGCAGATCCTTGGAGATGCTTTTCACTGCTCCTAGCAACCACACCTTACCTAGATGTTGTTCCACTGATTAAAGGAGCTACAAAATTAAAGAAAGAAAATGGTATATTGAAGACATTCAACTTACCGTCAGAAAAATGGGGATACTTGGAAAAATCCTGCAGCATGAGAAATAGATTTTTACAATTTGTCTTCAGTAGTGGAGGCAGTGCCAAAATATACTGTTTTCCTACAGCAACCAGAAAGGCAGAATGAGTGAGGCAGTTTTCCTAACATTTCTCATTCTCCAGAAAAAACTCCAGCAACTAATGTGTCATTGTACACTACTTTTTTTCCCAGACTCTTGTAAATATCTTGTTGTATGCAAGTACAGATCTATCAAGAAGGAAAGGTAAAGAGGCCATAACCTTTCCATAAATATATCATTATTTTGGATATATGCCCTCTTACATTATAAGGAAGAAAGCACTCTGATATCGTAGCTACATCCAAATATAATATGACAAATCAGTTCCCTCTTTATTGGCAGCATCTACTGCCCTCAGGTTAGTTGTTCTGAATCAAATTCCAAAATTAAATATTGCAGTTTTCTTGTTGAACAAAGCTGAGTAATTTGTTTCAAGTACAATTTTCCGCCACTGGCTAAAGATTCTAAATTGAAGACAGCTTGAAAAATGGATATAATAGGAAGTGATGCAAATCCTGAGAGAAAGAACACGCACACAAACAACAAAAAAATTCTTTTTTCCCTGCCCTTCTCTGTGATCAGCTGAATATGTGGATACATATTTAAAGCATTGACCAAAGGTAATAATTATTCCAATTTCTGCTATAATTTTGATCAGAAAGTTCTGTCTTAGGAATACTATGCTGTAATGATCATAAATTAAAGTAAAAAAAATAAATCAGATCTTTTTGGATGCATTTTGTGAATTTATCTACATGATTATTTTTATGCTAATAATCCAAATTACACCATAGCAGGTTTTTTTTTCATAAAAAAGGTGCAAAAAATTATCTAAGCAGATTTTTTAAAGAAATTAAAGGTTTGATGAAGTTTAACTGCTTAATTAAAACAATCTCAACAAAATTTAGGAAGAGGTGAATTAAATTGACATCTTCCTTAATTTCCTAATGAATTATTTGAATGAATAAACTGATCTTTATAATGCAGTCCCTTGTAATGACAAAATGAGATTTCCAATACATTCTCAACTGACTGAAGTGCTTTAAGCCTTGTATAAACACTTGTTTTATGGTACCAAGTTACCTTTGATGGTTAGCAGAGGAACTTCAAGGTTTCCACATCATTTTGAAACTGGTGTAAATGGAAAATACAGTGTTTCTATCTGGAAACTTTAGATAATACACACTGCACATTCTGTCCTTCCATCTGTTCTGATGGCCTTTAAACATCTCCAGTAAAGGAGACTCCACCCTCTCTTTGGGGAATCTGTTCCACTGCTCAGTCACTCACAAAATAAAGAGGTACTTTCTCATATTCAGGTGGAACTTGCTGTGCATGAGTTGCTGCCAGTTGCTCTTGTCTTATTGCTCAGCACCACTGAACAGAGCTTGGTCCATCCTCTTATCTCTGTCCCTTCAGATACTGATAGACATTGGCAAGGTCTTCTCTCAGTCGACTCTTCTCAAAGCTGGATAGGCCCAGTTCTCTCAGCTTTTCCTTTTAAGAGGAAATCATTTTTATAGCCCTTTGATGGACCTGCTTCAGGATGTCCATGTCTCTCTTGTACTGAGGAGCCCAGAACTGGACACAGCACAGCATATGTGGCCTCACTAGGGCTGAGGAGATGGGCGGGATCACCTCCCTCAGCCTGCTGGCAATGCTCTTCCATTGGCCTTCTTGGCACAAGGGCACATGGAAAGTACATGCAGAGCTGCTTGTCCACCAGATCCTCCTCTGCAGAGCTGCCTTCCATCAGGTCTAACCTGTGCTTCTCCCCAGGGGCAGGACCCTGCATTTGCCTCTGTTGAATTCCAGAAGGTTCTTTTTTGCCCAACTCTCCAGCCTGGCAAGGTCCATCTAAAGGGCTGCACAGCCCTCTGGGGTATGCTGATGACACTTCTCCCAGCCTTATGCCATCAGCCAACTTGCTGGGAAGCATCTACCTGTGCTGGTTTCGCATTAATTGATATTCAGGAAGGAGGAAAATACCACCCACAGAAATTATTTTCCTGTGAGAGGCTGCTAGGAGCTTCCTCTGTGCCTGGAGGGAACCAGTGGCTGGCTGGCTCTGAAAGTTGACATCCTCTTGAACCATTTGGAAGCTTGGTCCGCCTCTGTGAATTCCACATTTTAGAAACAGGAAAGCCAGGGAAATTTCTCTCTTGTTTCCAGCCTCGAAAGGTAGCTGAGATCCCCAGTGGGGCTGGCTGGCCCAGCTCCACCACTGATCCCCCCACACTACCCCTTCATCTAAGTCATTGATGAATGAGTTGAACAAGATTGGACTCAGTATCAAATCCCTTGTATATCTTGAATATCACTTGTTGTGGGTTTTCATCCAGCTCTCCGTGCTGCTGATCAAAACCCCCTGAGCTCTGCTGTTCAGACATTCTCCATCCATCTCTGCTTGTCAAGCCTTCAGTTACTGACTTTGTCTATGAGGATATAATGGGAGATAACATCAAAAGCCTTACTGAAGTCTGGGAAACAGCATTCCACTACTCTCCCCTCACCTATCCAGACAGGTTTTGGAATTCAAGTGATGTTTGTGGCAGGAGAAACTGCCTTCCAGTTAAAGGAAGTTTTATTGTTGGAATTCAGTAGTGACCCACTTGAGTTCTGCAATAAATTTGGAAATAAATTAGTGTATTTAGTTGCATTGCACAGGAAACATTGCTTCAATACTGTATAAGTTATAGAATATTTGTACATGGTTATGACACACATGGATGACATACACAGCCAAACAGATGTAGTGGGCTGGATGAATAATGTTTAACACTTTAGATTGAAGTGTAATTCATGAAAGTCACTGAAATTTCAGTGGCCTAATATTGGCATGAGAGAAGAGGGATCACACAATGAGAGGCTTTCAAGTATGTGAAAAATACAGGAGTGGTGCTGGACAGGGCAGAAAAATTATATTTGAAGCATCATGATTGAGCAACTAAAGTTCTGCAAATGATTCCTGAAGGTGGAAAATCTGTCCTCTGATCAAACCTGAGCTAAGACCCAACAGCTTTTACTCTATTATTTACAGTAGCAACATTTTTTTCCTACTCTATACATGATCTTTAACTCCCCAGGTTATCACTGGGCTGATTCACTCTACTATATTTACTTTAGATAAACTGGACTATATTTCAGAATGTTGCTCACGCAAATGTAAGGAGTCCTTTGTAACACAAACTTGTTGGAAGTCGGATAGCCGGTCTTGTCTTCAATTTTTGTAATTATTTTGCTCCTTTAGTTGGTTTCTGTACTGGTGCTAGTGGTATTTTTTGTTTCTTTTTTTCTTTTTCTATTGCAGTAAATTGTGAAAGGGAAGGTAAGATCTATGAGCTATTTCAAGCAGAAATTTTGTATAATGCTACATGCTAGGATCAAAACTGGCATTAGCAATTTGCAATTAACTTACATAACTAACTTCATAAACTTAAATTTGAACCTAAATATTTAGATATTAGATTGGTTCAACAAGCAAATACTTTGTGCTGAGGCAAGATAGATTCCTATGATGTAGGAATATATATGATGATATAGATTCCAAGGTAGATTCAATGATATATGTGTTTACATTTGGACAAATGAACATATATGCATACACACATGTTAGGATATGATTATCAAAAGGTGCTTCTGCCCAAATTAAGGTGCAAATGAGACCATATGCCAGTGTCAGGATATGAATCTTATTTAAGAGTAGATGTGTGGTAGGAAGGGCAGAGAGAGAGGAGAGAAAAGTTAAGTATAAAATTAGTCACCACCACATGGGTTTCTGTGGCATCCTTCCCTTCTTCTTCTGGTCTTCTTGCTGGCAGGGTTCCTTGGAGTGCTCTTCTGGAGGTATCACTTTTATACAATCTAACTCCCAGGTATCCTCAGAACATAGATGCTACTCCCACAGCTTGGGCTGGCATGTGAATAAGGATTTGCTTCCTGTCTCAAGTTTGTCATGGTGAGAATTTTTGTCCAGATAGGCTACCCAGATCTGCCTCAGCTTGGAATGTTCCTATTGCCTTCTGCCCTTCTTGCGAGTTCCCACATCACAGTGGGGTTTTGTCCACCCTGCTAATTCCAAACCTTCACCTCAGTTTAGGCATGGAATTAATACCTTCCTGTTCACCATCTATGCCCCTTGTGGGGTTTTATTTTGTGGGAACTTCCTTCCCTGACAGTGTCTTGAGATATTTCACTTCACTCTTTAAGTCCTGACAACGTGTGCATGTATATATATAGATATTTGTATACATATATAAATTATTGCAACTCAGATATATATGTACATATGGGCACACACATGTTATGACTTGATAGTTTTTTGACATACCTCTTTGGATATAAAAAACAAACCTGGGTTCTGAATGAAATGCTTCATCTCTGTCTGTGAGGGTGACCCCTCATTATCCAGAATACTGTTTTTGTTTTATTAGCTTTTATTATCTGGAGCTTTAATTATTTTATTATCGCTGCTCTTAACTGCAATGGAGGAAAAACATAAGGCCTGTGTTGCATAGTGGCTCGGATAAAAAAAGGCAACAAATCCTATTAATATTCAGTTTTACAATTGACTTTCACATGTTCTACTAGTTTAAATGGTCTTCTTCATTTATAAACTTTTACAATAATTTGATGATTAGTGATTTTACTGGAAATTTCTTTTGAATCTTAAATAAAATTATTTAAGAAAATTATGATCTGATCTTTTAGATTTTGCAAACAGGACCTGCTTAAATAGTTAGGACATTTCTCTGAACAGTATAAGTTTTATTTCAATCTTACTCATTCTGTTTCTATGTTAGTTATCTAATTAAAAACTTAGAGTTTTGTCTACTATATATAAAAAAATCTAATTTAATATCTTCTTACACCTGGGACCTCCAAAATAGATAATACAATGAGAAATTTCATCATGGGATTTATGGGATGATCAGCCACTTAAATAAAAAATTTATAATCAGTGGAATGAAATAATCATTCTGAAGCTACAATTCATCTGACCTATTTTTAGAGATCTATTTGCAAATAAGACAAACTGCATTCTAGAAGAGCAATCCCTCAGATTGCTCAGCAATCCCATTGACACTCAGGCAGATGAATCCTAAAAGCAGGGTCTATGTCCAGCAGGCATTAGGTCACTGTAAAACATTAGTCTAAATGCATCAAGTAGTAAATTTTAAGTACAATTGACTTTATTTGACTAAAATGCTAATTTGATTTGTTCTGAAGTTGTAAAAATACTGCTGTGCTCAACATTAAGTACAATTACCATTTAGTGTTAAGTTCCATAATTATATTGAACTAACAAGAAGCACAAGATAGTGTTAATTTGGTGGTTTTTTAGTTTTATTTGTTAGAAAATGCTCTAATTAGGGCATGAAAAATAGAATAGGGGAGAAGTTTTGGGTTAGCAGTTTACTCAGATACAACATAACCAATTTTAAGTCATAGACATATAATTGTTATAGAGAACCAGAATTATTTAATTAAAGATGAACACTGAAGCAGGTCAAAAATCTACCAATTTTGTGTATCTTTAGATAATTTAGATATAATTATTTAGGTAATTATTATAATTATAATATTAATTATATTTTAATTAAATTTATATTATTTATTATTTTCAGTTCTCCAAATTCAGTGTTTCTAGTCTGATGGGGTGCTTTTTTTGGGTTTTTGTTCATTTATTTTATTGATTGGTTGTGGGTTTTTGTTTGTCTGTTTGGGTTGGTTGGTTGGTTTTTAAAAAGGCAAAAGGAATTTTGCCAGAATTAGTGATCAATTTAGCAGTAAAATGGGTTTCTCTTTTGGTTTCTCTTGAGGAAAGCCCCACACCAATCCTATCTTCTTTCCCCCTTTCAAATCTCACTGGAAAAAGTAAAAAAATGAACCTAACACTGTAGAGATGATAGAGAGCCTGTAGAATTCTTCCATAGATTCATTTATTGACACAGAACTCATTAGGAAGAAGTAGGAACATTCCTGATTCACTGTTTCTTGAGTTCTGCAGATCTACAGCAGCTGATTGTCTCCTAATTGGTTTTGTCTCTCAGAAGACTTGATTGCATTTGCTGAAAGAATTTCACCCATAAAAGATTTTAGCCAACAGCAGTTTCCTTTGTTGACCTGTGACAAGCCCGGTAAGAAGCTCTGGGTGCCTAAAGGGACCAGATGTTCTCCTCTCTGAATCCTGCACCTCTGTGGAGACAGTGGGTCTAGCCCTGGTCACCAAGAATCATAGCAGACAGAGTCAAAATCTGTTATAATCTCGAGGGAAAAATCACAACAGAAAACACAAGTAGATCATATTGAAACACAACGCATATAATTATTAACTTCCTCCTTTTTTTAGACAGTGTTCCTAATGTTTTTCATCACTGACAGTTCAGTCTATATTAGATCTGATCTATGTATATATATCATATAATTTTAGAATTAGGCCTTAGGAGAGGCATATCAAGAGTTTAAGAAACTTCAGTCTCTAGTGATTTCTTAGGGACTTTTATTCACTTGGTTAATGAAGGAAGACAAGGATCCTTTGGCAGCTGGGAAGGTGGAAGATAACAAACTCTGGGAGCTCCTAGAGGAACAGAAACTGGAGAATAAGGGACAAAGGTAATGTGGGAGCTTATCAGAGGGTATAAAAGAATTCTGTTTTTCCACACCATTGACCTGTTTGAACGCACAGATTTTGAAAGTTTGGGGAGTGGGCAGCCCACGAGGAAATCTGGCATATGTCTGTCAAAACAAGAGTGAGGAAAAGCATAAATTTCATTCTTTAGATTTTTCTAGTGAAAAGTAACAAGGGACTGAGGCATCCATGAGCTCTGAGATGTTCCCAGGCTGTTGCATTCCTTCTTTTGATTTTAACCTAACAGTTGGGCCACAGAGACAGAAGCCAACGTGCTCACATCTTAGAACTGCCAAGCTGTCTTTAGATAAATTCCACATTCGGCTGAGTCCAGGACACTTCATGAACACCCATTCCCAGCATTATAAAACTTTGGGATTCACAACCAACCTTCAACTTATATAGAGCATATCCAGCCATACATGATCAGACAGAAAGATGTATCCAGTGCATCTGAGCTCTCCAGGTCCCTCCAGCAAAAAGGAGCAATGAAGAACTCAGTTTGCATTCATGCTACAGCACTACTGACTTCTATCTCCTGCAGCAAAACTCTGGAATCAACTGGACTTGCTTTCATGCAGAAGTGCTAACTTGTTGATAGCACCACAGCAATATTTAAAGCTCTTTTCCTGAGGCAGCTTTTCTTTATTGTTGACAGTAAAATGGATGTGCTATGAAAAGAGATTTTTGTTTTCAAACAGTTGGGAAATAATGCAAGGACCACAAAACAGATTCAATATTCTTTAGACTTCTTTAAAATGAGCAAAACTAAAAACATGCAATTGATGCCCAAAGCGATTTTAAAAATACTGAAAGTCCTGGCATTGGAGACAATGTCTTTTTTCCACAAAGCAATAGATTTTTTTTCATGTTCTCATGACAAAATGTGCACTGTCCACTCTTTTCTGCTCAAACAGAGATCAAAACACTCTTCAAATCAGTTTTTTTCCCAAGGTCACTTGTACAATGAAAGCAACAATTTTTCTTTAAACAATATTAATTTAGAAAATGTCTTTGTGGTCATTATTATTGCATACTGGGCTGCAAAATTAACTATGCAGGGAACAGGTCATGGGAAAGGATTCTTCCTTTCCACTGGGTGCTTGTTAGTATGAAGAAGAGGAAGCCAGACACTTCTCAGAGCTCAGCAGTCAGAAATAGGAAATAGATAACATTCACAAGCTCAAGTAAAGCAAATTCCAGCTGAATAAAGGGAAAATAAAAAACAAGCCAAACCAACCCAACAAAAACACACAAATTAAAATTTTGGTTCAAAACTCTGCAGAAAAATCTCTGTTCAGCCTCATCTACTTGGAAGTTAACCCTGTGAGTGTAAGGTTGGACTGGAGTGCTCCAGCAGTCCTTTGCTCTATGAATCAATCAGTTTACAATTTATAAAGCACACTTTAAACTACAATTATTGCTGTAAAATGCCATTTTTCCTCTCCCTGAACCTCGTCTCGTCTTTCATGGTGACATAAGGTGTGTGCTGATTCAGGTTAGGTGACTAACACAAAATCAACACCCTGGGGTGTGGCAGGGAGGGGGTGAGGTTGCAGTGGTAGGATCATTTCTGCACTAGGCAGCTGTACAAACACTGTGGCTGCAGGAGATGAAGTCAGGGGCACTGTGTGGGCAGCAATAGGCAGGAGCCTGGAGAGAGCTCTTTCAGCACCAGCGCCTGTTTATGACTTTTTAAGAATTGGTGATTAGTTACAGGTAGCAACCTTTCCAGCTACACTAGAGATGGTATCATTTCCTTTAAGGGAACATCTCATCAGGAAGAGTTTAAAGCAGCAATCTGCTTCAACTGTTTATTGAGAACTCCATAGTATTTTTCATAACCACTTCCCAGGTAATTAGGTTCAATTGCTCGATGCTCCCTGTTGCAACTGCCTACAATTAATGTATTCTTTTTCTTCCCTAATGACCACAAAACCTGGATTATCTCATCACAGGCTTTTTAAATAAAGGAGTATTAAAAAAAAAATAAAAATTGTTAAATAACAGAAAAAAACCCAAGCCAGGTTGCTTATTTTGCATATTCTTTTTCTTAGGGGAAGGAAGATGGTTTTATGGTAAATCACTGAGAAAACCTCAGCAATTTTTTTTTTTTTGTTAGTGACATTTGCACGAGTTTTGTCTTTTGACAGCAGAGGAGTTAATTCTGCCATTGCCTGTTTTCAAAGCATAACAAACAGCTTCCAAAATCAAAAAACACACTGCTCAGTGGGGTAGCAGACTTGCTTTATGTATCTTGAAGCATTCTTGATAAAAAAAAAATACTCCTTTGCTGGAGCATAAATGTCATATGGAAAAAGAAAGTAAATTCGGCATGAAGCTTGAAAGCTCCTTATTCTGTTGCCTCTATATGCTTCTCTGAGGTAGTTTAGGAAAGTAACAAAGATTACCAATATACATTTAGTTGCAATTACTCTCCTTAACTGTAGTTGTCTCACCTTTCTGATTAGAACTACTCATAATTACTTATATTTTTGTGCAAGTAATGACTGTAAACATTTATTATAGAACCACTATCCTTTCTAAATTTTAGGGGTTTGCTAACTACCACTAGCATTATTATTATTAAGGCATAAACCCAAAAATTTTACAAAGAAATAGTGCAATCTGCTGAAAGTATTTATCACAAAAGATCTGAGATAGAAATTTTAATTTTTTGGTGGAAATTGTGACTTTTAGATTACAGTATGATGGACACCTCAGGCTAAACTCTATTTAATGTAGAGTTTAATGCAGGGTTGTTTATGTTGTTCTAGTGAGTTGTATTGTATGGATTTTATTTCAAAATAGGAAGTGGAGTGCCTTGCACAGGATAATTGTGAGCCATTTCAGTAACAAGTTTGCAATCTCCCACATCAGTATGTCCTTGGGCAGAATCATGGACTTAAAAGTCTGCATTCTTTCCTGCAGCCAAACTGTGTTGGGAAGCAGGAATGAAAAATTGCAGAGAAGTTAAATTGATGCTCGTATGAATTACAGTGTATACATACACTCAAATTTCAGACATAAAAATGGAAAAATGCATAGATTTGATTAGTAAATAAAGCTTCCCTCTCTTTGGAAGAGCTACCAATAGAGAGACCTTGTGACTTCAACACTGAGTGGAACATGAATATTTCAGCACTCAGAGACTTGCAATTCAGCAATGGATCCACAGAGTTTTGCTTGTGAAACCTCATTCAAGGGGATACTTGTGGTGCATGTGGCCAGGAGAAAGTAAAATTGGGCTGAAATAACTTCAAAGATAAAACATGGTCTTCAGCTTCTTTGGCCATGAAATCCTGTGTTTCACAATGATAATCACAACACAGAAATAATTAGCACTACCACCAATCAATAGGTCAATTTAAATTCATGTGAGTATGAATATGTCAGATGGACAGCTTGATCCTGCTTTCAGGAAGAACACACAGGTCAATTTTACATTAATCCAGATATCATAGTTAGAATTTGAGGAAGTTTGCTTGTAGATTTTAGGAAAACATTTCCTTCCAGCAGTGGATCATAATCTGAATTGATATTTAGTGACACACTCTCAGGGTTCCTGATCTAATCTGTATCTCTACCCTAATATTTGCATATTTCAATATTTCTGCCTTTATTTTTATGTTTATATACTCAGTGATTTTCTTTCGTTGGAAACTCAGTAAAAAGCTGTTCAAGTCACTAAATAATGCCAAATGCTAATGAGAACTACTGAATCAGCCTTTGAATCCTTTTTTTTTTTCTCAGTCCTCAGTAAATTAATATTTTGTATTTTCCTTTAATCAGTCAAAATGATTTCTGATATTTTATACAGCTGTTAACATTTTTTCTGACCTAGAATTAAAAGACTGTTTCTGTGAGAAAACATACATCACAGACAGTTTTTCCTGACAGATGCAGAAACAATTCATTGGCCATAAGGTTGCTCACAAATAG